CTTCATCTTTCCCCCATTCTTTTTCCCTTTCATATCCTTATTAGCCCCTTGTTACTTCCATAAACGCTCAATACCGGTCCCCTCCCCATACCAGAGTCCACAGGAGAGTAAACATGCTGTACCTGACTTTCTGAGCCTGCTTTTCTGTTCATCTATTGATAGGCATCTAGGTGGATTTCTTAACTTGGCTGTTGTAATTGTGCTACAATTGTTCTAAACACACGTCTGCAAGTATCTCCATGGTAAGCTGGCTTTGGTACCTTCAGGTAGATACTCAGAAAGTTATACCTAGGTCACAGAGAAATTCCACTTTTACTTTTACTTTTTGAGAAATCTACATACCAATTTCTATAGTGGCTGGACTAATTTACATCCCCACTATAAATGTACAAGGGTTCACCAACCCTACCAACATTTGCTTTGCATATATATATATATATATATATATATATATATATATATATATGCTGAATGGAGTAAGATTCAAGCTCATTGATTTACATCACTGATAGCTAAGGAATGGGTACATTTTCTCATGTACTTATTGGCTATTTGTGTTTCTGAATTGGAAAATTGTTAAGTTCATTTGCGTATTTGTTGATTGGATTATTTATTGTTGAACTTCTTTTTAAATATGTGTTTATTTACTATGTATGGTGTTCTGTCTGCACACCAGAAGAGGACATCAGATCTCATTATAGATGGTTGTGAACCACAATGTGGTTGCTGGAAATTGAACTTAGGACTTCCGGAAAAGCAGCCAGTGCTCTTAACCTCTGAGCTATCTCTCCGGTCCCTTAAAAGATTTATTTTTAGTGTGTGTGTGTGTGTGTGTGTGTGTACTTGTGGAAGCCAGAAGAGGGTGCTGAATCCCCTGGAGCTGGAGTTACAGGCAGCTGTGGGTGCTGAGAACCCAACCAAACTCTGGTCCTCTTCAAGAGTAGCAAGTAGTCTTAAACATTGAGCCATCTTTCCAGCCCCTATGTAGAAACTTAATGTAATCCTGTTTGTCAATTTTTGGTCTTATTTCTAAAAATCCTGAAGCATTTCTCTTTTGCATTGCTCTAGTAGTTTCAAAGTTTCAGGTCTTACATGAAAGTTTCTGACACCTGTTTTGAGTTGGTTTTTATACAGGGGGCAGTTTTTGTACAACTGTGAAAGAGGTTGTCTTTTCTTCAGTGTGTATTTTTTGGCCCCTTTATCAAGAATCAAATTACAGTTTCAGTGTAGATTTTATTTTTTGATTTGTTTTGAGACAGAGTCTCTCTATCTAGCTCTGGCTGTACCGGAACTTGCTATGTAGACCAAGCGGGCCCACCTGCCTCTGCCTCTAGTGCACTGAGGTTAGAGGTGTGTCCATTCCACCCAGGTCAATGTAGATTTATTTTTAAATCTCTATTCCCTTTGTTCCACGTGTGTGTTTTTATGCTAGGAGCATGCTATTTTTGTCACAATGGCTCCGTAGTTTTCTTTGAGGTCAGGTGCTTGATAACTTCTAATACTGCCTTTTATTACTCACTTTGGGATTGCTTAGGCTATTTGGAGTCTCTCGTATTTCCATATAAATTTAGAGGTCCCCCACCCCCGGTTTCTCTTTAGAATTCCATTCAGATTTAGATGAAGATTGCAAAGAATTTGTAGATCACGTTTCTGCCAAATATGTAAAGTATTTCTATTTTCAAGTGTCTATCTTTCTTTAGTGTTAGGTCTTGGATGGTCCATAGTTAGATGCTGGGCTATTCCTATGTCTAGAAATGAGCTCAAGCTGAATACAGGGGAATTTCTGATGGTTGGATGAAAGCCAGCTCCTCAGGAACATGAGATCTGCCAAAAGGAGTCATTTCCCTTACTTCTAGCAGAAGGGGCATAAGGCTCCTTTGACATCCCCACATTTGCCTATCAAAGCCCATGCTTCCCTCCAGGCTCTCCATCCCTATTCACAAGTACTTGTTGTATATTTCAAACCAGCAGCCTAGTTCTTCTCACCTCCCCAGGCTTCCCTCCTCTTTATAAGGGACAAGGTTTTCTCCTCTGCCCAGATACATGTTCTGTCTGGTACTTTCTCTTTGCTTTGAATTCTTCCAGATGTACCTGGATATTTTCTCTCTCATGGCCATGTCCAGTTTATTTTCTTTTTTCTCTTCTCTGGACTCTGGATATTCTCTCCTCTCTCTCTCTCTCTCTCTCTCTCTCTCTCTCTCTCTCTCTCTCTCTCTCAAACAATGAGAAACATCCCCTTAATCATACCATGGAGCTGTTATGTCGGCAAGTTTTTTTTTTTTTTAAATAATTCTTTCTTCCTTCCTTCCTTCCTTTCCTTCTATTTTTATATGTATTGGTGTTTTGCCTGTGTGTACATCTGTGTGGGGGTGTTGAACCCTGGAGTTACAGTTGTGAGCTGCCATGTAAGTGCTGGGAATTGAACCCAGGTGCTCTTTGTTGTTGTTTTGAGACAGGGTTTCTCTTTATTGCTTTGGAAGCTGTCCTGGAAATAGCTCTGTAGACCAGGCTGGCCTCAAACTCACAGAGGTTTGCATGCCTCTGGCTCCCAAGTGCTGGGATTAAAGGCGAGTGCCACCAACGCCAGGCTCCAACGCCAGGCTCCATCAGTGCTTTCTTAACTGTACCCCCTCGCATATATCTAGTGCTGAAACACTAGAAACACTAGCATACATTTGTACATTTAGTGCTTTGTAATTCACTCTCTTTCCCCTTCCTCTCTTCCTTCCTTCCTTTTTTTTTTTTTTTTTACAGTGTTTCACTGTGTAGCCTTGGCTACCTGGAACTCACTATTTAGCCCATAGTCCATGCTGGCCTTGAACTCATAGAGATCCACCAGCCTCTGCCTCCTGAGTGCTGGGACTAAAGGCATGTACCACCATGCCCAGGAGATTTGCCACTTTCCTTATCCAGATTTTCACATCCTTGGCTAAGCTTTAGTCCTAGTTGGTTTTGTTTGTTTTTCAGGCTATTGTGATTGGTACTAGCTTCCTGACTTTGTTCACAGTGAATTGCTAGTGCGGAGAAAAGCCACTGATTTGTGGATTTTTGTATCTTCCTCCTTTGCTGAGGGTATTTACGAGATCTAAGTCTTCGGGTGGCATTTCAAGATTTGAATATGCGGGGTCCTATCACTTGAAAACAGGCAATTTGCTTTCTTTTTTTAATATGTATCTTTTTATTTCTTCCTCTTGACTCAGTAGTACTTGCTTTCAAGTATAAACTTGTGTGTGTGTGTGTGTGTGTGTGTGTGTGTGTGTGTGTGTGTGTGTGGAGAAGAAGAAAAAACATCCTAGTGTGCTTACACAAGCACGGGTGAATAGTGTCGGGGCAGGGGGAGCATAAGTGGAAACTGGGCTCTTGCAGTTGAAATACTTTCTTGCTTTCTCAGATGCAGTCAGAGTTTTCCCCTGCCTTCTTCACCTCACCTCCAAGAATGACTCGTGCTTGAGAATATAGTCCTGAATGGTTTACCTAAATTCACTCCCTTTTCTGAGAACAGGAAGTCAAAAGGTGAGTGACAGAGCCACCTGCTGCTCTCTCTTCTGCAGAGGGTTAAGAGGAGCCTGGGTTGCATAGTTTAAGAGGAGCATGGGTGTGCTCTTTGGCCTCCTTGTGGACATCAGCAAATCTATTCTGAAAGGTAGGAAGGCAAGGACTGTAGAGTTAATTTTTATCTACATAGAACCAAACTAGGCTTCACTCCACAGACTCACACCATTGGAGAAAGCTCCCTGAAGCAGCCAAGAAACTAGGCAGGTCAGTTTCCTTCATTTTCCCTCTTCTTATATCTTACTCCCAAAAGTTATTACTAAAGAGGATACAATCTATGTTCACAAAGGGATGGACCAGAGGAAAAGAACCTGTTGGAAGGATGTGTTATACTTTTAATTTTTTTTTTTTTTTGAGATTTTTTTTTTCCCTTGTAAGTCTGGTTTTCTTTGGTGGTATTCAATACCTTGTGTTGTATTTGAAGGGTAGGTGTTGTTTGTGTAATAGTCAATAGGCTCATATATATAAAGACTCAGGAAGGCAGAGTAGAGGGAAATCTTTAGTCTTCTAATGCATGATATTTGATAAATCACTCAACTTCTGTTTTGTTTTTTTTTTTTTTCTGTAAAACGACTCTAGTGATAACTAGTTGGCTGTGATTATTACGTGGGACAGTGTAAAGAAATAATCTTAGTTCATAAACAATGTAAGTGCTCTGTGCACAAGATCATACTCACTTTTGTGGAGAGACATTTTAAAGTAAATACAGTATTTGACTGACTGCTATTAATTTTTGAATACTATTGAGTTGCTTTTTATTTCTTTTTCCTTTTTTTTTTTTTTTTTTTTTTTTTGTATTTTGAGATAGGGTCTCTCTAGATAGCCCAGGCTGGCCTGACACTCACTATGTAGATAGGTTGGCCTCAAACTCAGAAATCTGTCTGCCTCAGCCTCCTGAGTACTAGGATTTAAAGGTGTGCACTACCATGTCCAGCTATTTACTATTGCTTTAAGGACATTTTAAATTGAAAGGTTAGCCAGATACAAGATCTGAGTAGTGCATACTGTGGGGAGAGAAGTCTTAATACAGAGATTAACAAATAGAAGCAAGGAAGTGTTTCCTTTTAAAGGGACTTGATTCTAGAACTGATGATAGAGTCAACTTCATGTAGTTTTGTTTCCAGACCTAGAAATGCTAAACCCCAGATAAAATTTCTGTCTAGTGCTTCAAGGGGTGGGAAGAACGGCAAGGATGAAGGGTGGGGACTTCCTCCAGCTAATTGCACCTTTAACCAAGACAGACCAGTTCCGTGCTTCCCTCTCCACAGAGGTAAGGGTGGGGCGGTCCCTGTGGCAGTCTGGCCAGTGGCTGTTAGGGCTGTCTTGAGTATCCCTCAGCAAGCCTGGCAGATGGGTTCCTCTTTACTAAGTTATTTCTCCAGGGAAGCAATCTCTTCTGCCACCAGTTTGGAGTTGGACTTGACATTCCTGGGAACATGTTTAGTTAATTTTTAATCAGAATTTCTTTGTCCTGTTCAGCGAGCCCACCCACCTCCTCCGCTGGGCAAGGCTGCTGAATGCTCCTCACCTGCCAAGATGATTTTGTGGAGGAAGGTCTGTTGGCGCTATCATGTGTGGACCGTGGGCTGCTACATGCTGCTGGCTGTCATCGCCCTAAAACTGTCCCTCAGACTGAAGTGTGACTTCAGTGTCTTAGACCTGGACTCAAATGAATTTCAAAGCCAGCACTGCAGGGATTTCCTGTACAAGAACCTGAAGCTGCCAGCAAAGAGGTCCATCAACTGTTCTGGGGTCACTCGAGGGGAGCACAAAGCAGTGATCCAGGCTCTGCTGAACAACCTGGAGATTAAGAAGAAGCGGCAGCCCTTCACAGAGGCCGACTACCTTAGCATGACAGCAGACTGTGAGCAATTCAAGACCAAAAGGAAGTTCATACAGTTCTCACTGAGCAAAGGAGAGGCCGACTTCCCCATTGCATATTCCATGGTGGTTCATGAGAAGATCGAGAACTTTGAAAGGCTGCTGCGAGCTGTGTATGCCCCTCAGAACATATACTGTGTCCATGTGGACCAGAAGTCCCCAGAAACCTTCAAGCAGGCAGTCAGGGCCATTGTATCATGCTTCCCAAATGTCTTCATAGCTAGTAAGCTGGTGTCAGTGGTTTATGCTTCCTGGTCCAGGGTGCAGGCTGACCTGAACTGTATGGAAGACTTGCTCCAGAGCTCCGTGCCATGGAAATACCTACTGAACACCTGTGGGACAGACTTTCCCATCAAGACCAATGCTGAGATGGTCCAGGCCCTCAAGCTATTGAATGGGCAGAACAGTATGGAGTCAGAGGTACCACCGGCACATAAAACGTTCCGTTGGAAATATCACTATGAGGTGAAAGATACATTGCACATAACCAGCAAGAGGAAGACTCCTCCACCTAATAACATAACCATGTTCACTGGGAATGCCTACATGGTGGCTTCTCGAGACTTCATTGAACATGTGTTAAACAACTCCAAAGCCCAACAACTAATTGAATGGGTAAAAGACACCTATAGTCCTGATGAGCACCTTTGGGCCACCCTCCAGCGTGCCTCATGGATGCCTGGATCAGCTCCCTTGCACCCCAAATTTGACCTCTCAGACATGAGATCTATTGCAAGGCTAACTAAGTGGCAGAGCCACGAGGGAGACATCGAGAATGGGGCTCCTTACACACCTTGCTCAGGCACCCACCAGCGGGCTGTCTGTATTTATGGGTCTGGGGATCTGCACTGGATACTTCAGAACCATCATCTCTTGGCCAACAAATTTGACCCAAAGGTGGATGATAACGTTCTTCAGTGTTTAGAAGAGTATTTACGTCACAAAGCCATCTACGGGACAGAACTGTGACATACTGCAAGACGATTTGCTACCTGATGGCAGGACAATGCCAGGCCTTACTGGGGCAATGTGGGGTGGGCACCTGGGGCTCTGGACTCCATGTGTCCCCTAGGATGACAGGGAGTGCTATGGGAGCATGGGTAAGTAGATCTCTGTGCCCTGTGAGCTGCTGCTGGTGACTGTGGCTACTCTTCAGTTCTCTCCCCCAAGAGCCCCTTTGGCTTCCTCACAGAGCCAGAACCACAACTACAGCTATTTGGGAGAATAAGGGAGGATCACGTGGCCAGGGACTCTAGGCTTTAGCTGCAGGTTTCCTGTCAGGCTCTACAGAGACTCTGTTTCAAATATTCCTGGGGTTGGTCCCGGGAAGGGAACATTAATGGAAAGAGCTCCCCTTTTGTATTGTTAATTTAAAATAAATAGCTTCCAAGCCAAAGTCCTATCCCTACAGTGTTGTCTATGAATCCAGAAACAATCTGAACAGATAAAATGTGTGAGACTTTTCTCATATGCTGAGGACAGTCTCTAGCGGCTGGCAGCAAAGTCTCCATGGCAAGTGGTGTAGATGGCAAACTGAATCACATAGCTAATTCTCTCATCACAGAAAGCCTTCCTAATTTTGTTTACACTGGCAGACTCCGACTTTTCCGAAAGGGGAAAGACAGAATAATGTGACTAACATGATCAATATGTGTTTAGGAGAAACCCATGGTAGCTTCATGGCCAAAGTTTACCGTCCTGTACCAGCAGCCATTTCACTGGGGGAGAGGCTGCACTGTTAATTAGGCTAGAAAGTGAAAGCAAACTGTCTTGCTAAAACCAAGATGCCTGAGTATTCTTTTTAAGCCTCTGGAATCAAAGCTGCTTTGTTTCATTATGTATCAGGTTTACTATTTGCCATTCTGTAGACCATGCATTTTCTTATAGGGACACACTGGTGTGTGTACATATACTCGTATAAATGCTAAAGTGTGTACATTTACAGGTATATTCCCTTGTGAAACCTCTCCCTCTCTGAAGACCCAGAGATAATTGTTGGCCAGTATGCATTCTATTCTGTAATGACCAAAGGGCACTAAAACTATAGGTAGAATCCTTGAACATGGTATAGCTGATTTTGTGTACATGTCCCAGAAGAGGGCTTTTTGTACAAATTAGTATGTGTAATGTGAATAAGTTTCACATCAATATGTTAGGATGTTAACATGTTTCTTCATCTCAAGTCCTGATCCATTTAAGGCTTTCTCTCTACAACCAACTTTTACTGTAACCCTTGTCTCTCTAACAGTTAGTGTGTGACAGAAATTTCTTTCTTTTGATTTTGAGGCAGTTTCTCTATACAGCCCTGGCTATCCTGAAATTCTGTACAGCCCTTGCTGTCCTGAAACTTTCTCTGTAGACCAGGCTGGCCTCAAATTCAGAGATCTGCTTGCCTCTGTCTCTTCAGTGCTGGGATTAAAGGGGTCCATTACTGTGCCTGGTGGAATTTTCTATTTCAAAGTGAGAATTTATTCTGCCCCCACTTTTTTTTTTTTTTTAAAGATTGACCTCCCTGGGTAATGGGCAATGTCACTACAAATTTGTATTGAGTCCTGTGGACCTCAAAGGTGACTAGTGGGTAGTTACAGGCTTGGTGACTGTGTCATGAAATCTGTTGCCAGCAGCAGTGACTATTCCCCTGGGAGGAAGGAAAAAGGGGCTGCTGCCCTGTGAGATAGATGTGTGTAGAAACACTTCCCAGAAGATGCATTGCTTCATGGCCTAGCTTCCCTAAAAGCTGTCATATAACTGAGATGTAGCTTTTCATATAAATACATTCAAGCTACTGGTCTGTGGACTTATCATTTCTGGGAAAAGTTTCTGGAATTTTCCAAGATTAAAATTTTCTCTAGTTGATGAGTCAGGTGGATAAAAGTAGGGTTTTTGTTTGCTTTAACAGCATGAGGTCATCACATCAGAAGTGAACTTCACCTTGTTTAATTTCTTTTCAAGGTCACATGGGGAAGCCAGCATATATGTTGATTTTTCTTTCTCGAGTCTTATCTGTTTCTTTAACCTTTCTCTGGAAAGGAAAAGCCTTATAAACAAATCGAGCGATTAGGCTTGTATCACCTTCCAAGGCTTAAATTTCCTCCTCATTCTGATGTATGGCCACCATTGAGCTCTATTTTAATAACTGCTGCATGTGCTACTCACTATATTTGTCCTTGGTTTAGTAAACATTTATTGGGAAAAGAAAAAGCAGTTGCTAACTTTGGGGAATATAATTTAGTTGGAGAGATCAGGTAAGCTATTTAAAAACGGAGACTAATATCTTACCTATTTAAAGTCCCTTTACTGACTAAAGCAAAGATCTATCCTTATGTATTCTACTTAAGTCATTATTTATTGTAAAGGTAGATAAGTTATGATTCTCATCTTTATAAATCTTGATGTACTGACAACCAATAAAATAATTAATTCCACAGTTATGAGCTCTTGTTATTTGTCACATATTGTTATTGATTTTTTAAAAATTAGATTTATTTATTTATGTGCGGAGGGAAGGGTGGCAGGACACACACATGCCATGCCTTGGGTGAGGTGGTCAGGAGATAGTTTTGGGGAGTAGGTTCTCTCCTTTCATCATGGGGTCCCAATATTGAATTCAGGTTACTAGGCTTCCTGGAAAGATGTTTTGCTAGGCTGGCTGGCTATCAGTCCCCAGGGATCCTGTTCTCTTTGCTTCCCCAGTGCTGGGATTATAGGGCATGTTCAGTAGAGTGCACAGTGATCCAGGAAGCTAGGCCCACTTGATTCTTTCAACGTGTTGCACACTCTTGCACCTTAAAAAAAAAAAGGGGGGGGGGAAACACCTTGCTTAACCCAATCTCAGAGATTTCATTCACCCAGGTACACAGAAAATAAATCATTTTATTACATCATGCAAAAAAAAAAAAAAATAGACATGTGAGTTTTTTTTACCAAAGTAGAGGGCATTTTTAGAATGGATTAACAAAATCAACATATCCTGGAGCCCCCTGGAATGTAGTAATACCAGAATAACAAACAGTTATGTAGAGTAAGCTTATACATGTTGTGATACTAATATAATGTGGTCAGAGAATAAGCAAGCCATAAGCATTTTAGACTAACTGGTTTTTAAGTTTAAGTTAAGAAGCTTTGAAATAGAGCTGGACATGTAGCTCAGTTGGTAGAGCACTCCCTTAGCATGCATGAAATCCTGTGTTGGATCCCCAGGACCACATAAACCAGGTGTAGTGGTGCACACATGTCACTTGGGAGGTACAGGCAGAAGGGTCAGTTCAAGGTCATTCCCTGCTACATGCCTGGTGGGAGGCCAGCCTGGGCTAAAAGGGACTCTGTCAAAAAAATAAAAAGTGCTGAAAAAGTTTAATGAGTACTGTGAATTCCATTTATTTATTACTATTTCAACAACTATCAATTCACGGTCAGTTTTAATGTCCACTCCTCACCCCTTATGCTTTTTGAAATGGTAGACACCACATCTTAAAAATAAAAAAAAAAAAATTTAGTAGTTTAGAGCCTGTTAACCCTGTGGATTCTCACTTCATTCTATATACTATGTCCCATAGCAGCAGGGATTTAAAATGCTTCCATAATTAACAGTGCACAAAGGACAGCTGGCATATTTTCATGCATTTTTAGCTGTTGAAGTTTCATAGCTAGTTTTCCCCCAACTAGATTTTTGGTGTTAACAGCAGATTTCTATCAGGGTTTCACTCTTTTTCATGCTCTTGAATGAGGAGTTTGTATCTATCTTTGAGTGCCATCAGCCTTGAACGTTGCTGCTCTGTGAACTGCATCTGTAACCATGAGCTGGCATCTTGGCCAGTAGGTCCTGATTTATGGTGGCATGTTTGTTAACAATCTGAAGTCCAGGCTCTGTTGATTTTTCATGGAAGATTACCTGATCTGGGTTCTCTGATTACTACTTAAGATCTTGTCTGAATACTTAAAACAACAACAAAACTAACATTCTTGAATATTTCCACTTTGTTCTTTGTAGTTCACAAAGACCATTAAGTGGCTCCAGGATTGTGTGCACAGGGCTAGGGAGATGACTCAGAAGACCATGTTTTGGATGGAAACAGACAGATCTGGGGAGTCTGGGCAAAAGGGAGAGCTTAAGGCCCACTGAAAGGCTTTTTTCTCAAGGGGACACGGTGGAGAGTGCTAGGGTAGGCCATTTGAACTCCTCTGGCTCTTTTATGAACATGCACTGGGTTGCACACATATCTACCTCTGTATGGACATGCACTGGGATACACACATACCTTTGTATGAACACACACTGGGGTACACACACATATACATACTTCTGGACAAATATGCACTGGGGTACACACATGCGTGCGCGCACACACACACACACACACACACACACACACGGTGATGATATACACCTATAAATCCAATACTTGCACACCTGTAAATCCCAACATTTATGTGGCAGAGGCAGGAGCATTTCTGTAAGTTCAAGGTCAGCCTGCTCTACAGAGCAAGTTTCAGGCCAGCCAGGGATCTACATAGGAACATAGATTTCCCCTCAAAGGACAAGAAAGAACAAAAGAAAGAAAGAAAGAAAGAAAGAGAAAAAGTGAGCCAGCCTAGTGCCTAAGAATCCCCATGCCCAGATTTCAAGGCCTCCTGTAACCTATCCTGATTCTCCTGGGTGTACAAAAATGAAGTGTTTTCTATTTCCCTTTGCCATGTATGCTGATTTCACTGAATCCACATTTCTTCATTATACGGCAGATGGTTTCCTTAGTTGAGACACATATTTGTTTATACACAAACATACATATGTATATGCCTGCATGCCTTTAATTTCTCATATACCTATGATCTCAGAATTTTAGTGTTAATAATAAGTTGTGGACACAGTGGTTAAGGACTATTACTGTGGTGGTTTGAGAGAGAACGGCCCCTATAGGCTCATATGCTTGAATGCTTGGTCCCTTAGTGAAACTATTTGGGAAAAATTAGGTGTGGCCTTGTTGAAGGAGGTGTGTCATGGGATGGACTTTAAGATTTCAAAAGCCCAC